AGCCAGAATGCTCCTTAGAAGGCAGATGGTGAGACTTTATCTCTCATACTTCAACATGTATCAGGAGCGATCGTTCCCTTGAGAAGGATATTATACTTAGTAAGATGGTGGGTCAGTGAAAAAAAGGAAGGCTCCCAATGAGATGGGTTGTCATGGTGGCAGCAGTAAATGTGAGGATAGCACAGGACCGGGCAGAGTTTCGTTCGGTTATGTATAGGATTGCTATAAGTCGGAACTGACTCAATGACACTTAACAAGAACAACAACAATAACAATCCAAGTCACCTGACGATTCATAGATTAGCGTGATCCCAAAGAGCCAAGATTGTGACTTTCAAATATAAGCAATAGAACAGCCACATTGCATACTATGCATGGTCTTTGAATATTCTAAGAATAATTTGGGCTATTTTGAGATCACTGTGATGAGGCTATCCTTATACAAGTATGTCTGCAGAAAATGAGAAAGAAACATATGAACAGAGAAAGGCAGTCAATAGGTGCCCTTATTTCCTAAAGGAGAAAAAACAAGTAAACAAAGAAACATTAAAGAATATAAAAGAGTTGGTTGATGAAAATCTAGCTAGATCAGGATTAACCTTAAAGGTGAAATGGGGGAAATTTTTTAGCAAGGATATGGAATCTATTTTTACTCATGAACTCCAAGTTTCCTCTGTTAAAAATCAGAGAACTCTGTCAAAGGCACAATATTAATTCTGGACTTCTCATCTGAAAGGGTCACATCTACATGGAGCAGGAAGATCATTGTCATGTCTTCATCTTCTCTTGTTGTTAAGTGCCATCTAGTCAATTCTGACTCTTAACAACCCTGGATAGGGTTTCTGAGGAAAAGCTGGTGTGGTTTGCAATTGAGTGCTGATCCTACAGCGCCACACCAGGAGCTCATCTTCTCTAAAGAAATGGTGATGAGGTGTCACAGGTCTTTTTTTATTTACTGTGGTTAAAATACAACAAAACATCAGTAACTTTGGTTGTTGTTAAAGTGCCGTTTTGATCGAGTTGATTCCAACTCATAGTGACCCTGTGTAGGATTTCCAGAGAGCAGTTGTCGAGTTTGAACGGCCGACCTTGTGGTTCGCACCGACTTTGCAATCCAGTGCTTATTCTACAGCCCCACACCACGACTCCAGACATTTTAAGTTGTTTTTATTGTTAAGTGCCTTGGAGTAGGTTCTGACTCATAGCGACTCTATATAGGGTTTCTGAGGAGGGGCTGGTGGTTTTAAACCATCAACCTTGTGACTCAAGCTGACCTTGTGGTCTAGTGCTTATCCTACAGTGCCACACCAGGACTCCAAAATTATTTAAAAGATGCAGCAATATTGAAAAGATTCTTATCTCCTCTTACCAGTCAAGGTGTTAGGAAAGGTTTTTAAACCATGCTTGCCTTTCTTCTGGAGAGCACCAGGTGGCGCTCTTACCTTGATTAAGTCAAACAGTCTAAATGGAAGGAAACTACCTTATTTTAATGAATTTGCCTTGAAAATTTTTCATCTATTAATCTTTGTACAAGAAGCCCTGGTAACGTAGAGGGTTACGAGCTGGGCTGTTAACCGCAAGGTCAGCAGTTCGAATCTACAAGTCGCTCTGCGGGAAAAAAATGAGGAATTTTAGTCCCATAAAGATTTACAGCCTCAGAAACCTTACACAGGGTTGGAACCAACTTGGTGGCACACAACCACTAACCACCAGTCTTTGTGAACTTGATGTATTTCGATAGGCAAATAGGTTGCCCAAGACCTCTTTAAAGTGTTGAAGAGCAAAGATGTCAGCTTGAGGACTAAGGTGTACCTGACCCAAGCCATGGTATTTTCAATAACCTCATATGCATGTGAATGTTGGACAGTGAATAAGGAAGACAATAGAATAATTGATGCATTTGAGTTATGGTGTTGGAAGAGAATATTGAAAGTACCATGGACTGCCCAAAGAACAAATAGATCTGTGTTGGAAGACGTACAGCCAGAGTGCTCCTTAGAAGTCAAGATGGCCAGACTTTGTCTCTTGTATTTCGGACATTTTATCTGGAGGGACCAATCCCTAGAGAAGGGATACCCTGTTTGGTAAAGTAGAGGGTCAGAGAAAAGGAGGAAGACCCCAAAGAGATGAATTAGCAGTGGCAGTAGCAGTAGGCTCAGGCTTAGTAACGATTGAGAGGTTGGCTTGGAACCAGGCAGTGTTTCGTTCTGTTGTGCATAGGGTCTCTGAGTCGGTGCTCACTCAATGGCACTTGGCAACAACAAGAAGTCTTTGTGTAGCACAAGATTTCCTACTTTCACTGACAAAATCAAACCAAAAATAAAGGTGAAAAGCAGCATACAAAGAGAAAGAGGGAGGGTACAGGAATGGGAAACCGGTTTGTTGACCACTTCAGCTGAGGGTGAATTTAAGTGTCATTATTGTTAAGTGCCGTCGAGTCAATTTCAACCCATAGCCACCCTGCATAGGGTTTCCAAGGAGAAGCTGGTAAGCTTGAGCCATGGATTTTGCAGTTCAAATGGCTTTGCAGTCTGATTTACTAGCCCACAGTGCTACACCAGGACTCCGAATTTAAGTGTAGCTGGGTTCAAAAGAGTTCTTGATGTTCTAAATAGTTTCTTTAATAACAAGGTAAATGTCTTCTTGGTCTTCAAGTGGTTCCGTTAGCCTAATTAACAAAAAGTCCTGGTTGGAAAAGGTCTTCGTCCAGGTGTCACCTGGTTTCTCAGCTCTCACTGCCCGGATCACTTGTACTCTGTCCTAGGACAGGCCCTACCACTGGGAGGACAAGGACAGGCCTTGTGATTGGACAGCTGCTCAGCCTGTGCCTGATTTGTGGTTTTTGTGAAGTGCAGTCGAGTCGGTTCCGACTCATAGCGACCCTCAGTAACTCAAACATAGGGTTTCTGAGGAGCAACTGGTGAGCTTGAACTTCCAACCTTGCAGTTACAACCTGTGACTGATAGTTACTTTAAATTAAAAGGAAGCCCCCATCTATATCCTGGATCTCAAACTGGTTTTCCAATCAAACATTATCAGTATTAAAATAATTAGGTATATTTGAGTCCCTAAGATAAGTAAAATAGTATATATCAGAAAGTAAATTGTAAAGCAAAAGACAAAATATTTGAAAGTTGTATAATTGAATCAGAATCTTTGGGAGTGGGACTCAAGAATCAGTATTTTTTAAAGCTCCATGTGCAGTTAGACATGAGAATCAAGTTCTCCATTTTACTGAATTTCAGGGATCATTGTTGTTGTTAAATACCATTGACTTCTGATTCATAACCAAACTGTATAGGGTTTCTGAGGCTGTAAATCTTTGTAGACGCAGAAGGCCTCATCTTTCTCCAATGGAGTACCTGATGGGACTGAAACAGCAGACAATTTATGGTTAGCAGTCCAGTGTTTATCCTACAGAGCCACTGTACTTTCAGGATCTAGGAGATACAAATGATTAATTGGCTGCTAATTTAGGAGTCCTGGTATGGCACTGTGGGTTAATGCGCCAGACTGCAAAGCCGTTTGAACTGCAAAGTCGGTGGTTCAAGCTCACCAGTCACTCCTCGGAAACCCTATACAGGGTCGCTATGGGTTGGAACCAACTCGACGGCACTTCACAACAACAACAATTTACAGACAGATTCCTCGAGTGGTGCTGTAGGATCAACACTGCACTTTGAAAACAAGGTTGGCTGTTCAAACCCACCAGCTGAAGGATAGGGGAAGAAGGCGGAATGGAAACAAGAAACACAGGGAAGAAATAGGATAAGTGATGTCACATTGAAGGAAATTTCATTGAGATCAAATGAAGTGTATAATTTGTTGAATGTGAATCTGCCCTGTAAACCTTCACTCAATTCACAATAAATTTTTTTAAAGAAAATAAGAGAAACATCAGTTTTTTTAAATAAATGGACAAGTCGATTTTGATTCATATAAGGTTTCCTAGGAGTAGCTGGTCTGGTAGCGTAGTGGTTACGAATCGGGCTGCGAACCTTAAGGTCAGCGGTTCGAAACTACCAGCTGCTCCGTGGGAGAAAGATGAGGCTTTCTACTCCCGTAAAGATTTACACCCTCGGAAACCCTGTACAGGGTCGCTATGGGTCGGAACCGACTCGACGGCACTTAACAACAACAACAAGGAGTAGCTGGTGGGTTTGAACTACTGATCTTGTGGTTAGCAGTCCAGTGCTTATCCTGCAGCACCTAAGCTCTCAATTTTAATTTGCATAAGAATCACCTGGGGGTGGGGTCCAGCATCTGCTTTTTTAACAAGTATCTCAGGTGATTTTGATGCAGGTAATCCTCAATCCATTGTTAATACTTTGAAAATCCCTGATTTGTAAGGTGCAGCATATTCAACAATGACCAAACTATGTGTATGTAAAAAATCCTTACTATACACCAGTTCTTGGCTGTACTGCTGTAATGGACTTACAAATATTCATTTTTATAATCTATATTACAACCATGTAAGGTGAAAAGCATTATTATACTATTTTTACAAATTAAGAAACTGAGGCACAGACAATTTGACCAATTGTCAACAGCCAGTGAATGGATCTGGACCTACACATTATGACTCCAAAGAGCCCTAGTGCTGCAAAGGTTAAGCACTCAGCTGCTAACCAAAACCATGGTTCAAACCCATGCAGCAGTTCTATGATCAGCTTCAATATAATTACAACCAAGAAAACACAATGGGGCAGTTCGACTGCCACATTGGGTTGCTATGAGCTGACAGGCTCAAAGACATCCAGTAATTCTTAGATTCCTATCTAGCAGTCCTGACTTCAACAACTGTGTTCTTGATGGCAAGCCCATGCTGCTCTTGTCACTGATATTTGTAAAACAAAAATCCATATTATTTCTAGCTTTATTTTTGTTGAACCCTTCCAAGGTGCATTGAAAAGAAAAGATGAATACATTATTGCATGAAACACACAAGAAATATTATATTAGCTTCCAGATGGAGAAAAGTGTAGAGTGACAACATTTCAGTAGAAATCCATCATCTCTGCAGAGCCCACTCTGGCACTCATAGCCCCCCAGTCGCAGTACCACCTGTACTCCCTTGGCCACAGCAGGTACTGCCGCCCCTGGTATTGGGCATCTCATAGAGGACCCAGCAGCCTTCCAGCATGTTGAGGGAGTGGATCTCATTAAAGTGGAAGTGGTCCTGAAGAGAGGAGCAGTCTTCAGAGAACTCCACCATCTGGCCTCTGTAATCCTCTCGCTCATAGACCCAGACCCTGTGGGAGCTGGTCTGTGGATTCAGTAAACAGCAGATGCACAAAAGTGAGACAATCTGGGCTATTTTAGCAACCAGGAATACACACCATTGAAGAATCATCATTTTCTTTTCTTTTCTAAATTAAAGGTGCTCCGATTTAAAGAGACTGTCAACATCATCAGGACCATTGCAGATAGTAGTGTAGGTCGTACACTGTACAACTCAAGATATTGCCATTCACAGGGACCAGTTTTCTGGTGCCACAACGTACGTGAACCATACACACTAGCCCTGCTCAGTACCATTCCAAGTAACTGTATTTAATATATTTTATTTTTTTTGATAACTCTTTCCTGAATGTCATGTCTCATGAGAGACATGAATATTCTCTCATTCATAGATTTATGGTGATCTTATGCTCTTCTCAAATGATATAAAAATAATTTGATTAAGAAACAAAACAAAACATCCCTGAAACATAGGGTTCTGAATCTCAGTACATTCAAAATTAGAGGGTGATGAAGTCAAACTGTTTCCCCAAAGTGAGGCCACAGATTGGTAGAAATTCAGAGAAAGAATCCATTCCAGAAAATTTCTTAATCCTTTTCTGCTCTAAACCCCTGTGCAGTCCTGGTGTGGCACTGTGGGATAAAGCACTGGACTGCAAGGTCAGTTTGAACCACAAGGTCAGTGGTTCAAACACACCAGCTTCTTCTTAGAAACCCTACACAGGGTCATTATAAGTCAGAATCTACTCAATGGCACTTAACAACAACTCTAAAATCCCCAAAAGCAAAAGTCAGCATAACAATTAGGTTTCAGCTCCAATGTGCTGTTGTTAAGTAAGTACCCTTGAGTCAGTTCCAACTCACAGTAACCCTGTATAGGATTTCCGATGAGCCGCTGGTGAGCTTGACCTTCCGGTTCAAACCAACCTGGCAGTCCAGCGCATTAACATGCAATGCCACACTAGGATGCTACCAGCTCCAATATATGCTCCTGTAAATCTGTTTTATGTAATAAATAAGAAAGGAAATTCAGGATCATGAAGGAGGTCTTCGTGAGATCAAGGAACTATAAAACTATTCGAAGAATGGAAAGTTCGGTTGCTTAGTCTTGGGCAAGCCCTGTCTCTCTTTAGCACTTCTTCCTTTATCTGCGTATTCCTTCCTGTTCCCTCAAGGTCTGCCTTCTTCCACCATTAAAACCTTCTTTAGGAAAGGCTCTCATAAACAATTCATTCTGGAGTATAACACTGCTAATACGATTATTTACCTTGAGGCGGTGTTCCGTGGCTTGCCAGGGACCCCCATGTACGTTATCTAATTTGGTCTTCCCGATAAGTCAACATACACAGAGCAACCTCTTCTATGAGAAAAGTAGTTAATAGCATTTACAGTCAGGATTAGAAGAATTAGGGCTGGAAGTGGAAACTTAGGTTTTCAGGATCCTAATGCCTGTCCTGGCGGCAAAGCAGGTTAAGTGTTAGGCTGCTAACTGAAAGGTCTTGGTTTGAACTCACCAGACACCAGCCCCTCAGAAGAAAGATAAGGTTGCCTGCTTCTGTAAAGATTTACAGCCTCAGAAACCCTAGGTGGTTGTTGTTGTTAGGTACCATGGAGTCAGTACCAACTCAGCCACCCTATGGACAACAGGCCTGGGACAACCTCATAATCATTGCATCGTTTGAGCCCATTGATGCGACCACTGTGCCAATCCATCTCATTGGGGGTCTTCCTCTTTTTCTCTAACCCTCCACCTTACCAAACATGATATCCTTCTCCAGAGACTGGTCCCTCCTGCCAATATGTCCGAAGTACGAGAGACGAAGTCTGGCCATCCTGACTTGCAAGGAGCACTCTGGTTGCACTTCTTCCAACACAGATCTATTGGCTCTTTTGGCAGCCCATGGCTCTTGGAATATTCTCCTCCAACACCATAACTCAAGTGCATCGATTCTTCTACAGTCTTCCTTATTCACTGTCCTGCTTTCACATGCATATGAGGTTATTGAAAATACCAGGACTTGGGTCAGGCACACCTTTGTCCTGAAGCTAACTAACATCTTTGCTCTTCAACACTTTAAAAAAGGCTTAGGCAGCAGATTTGCCTAATGCAATACGTCGCAGAAACCCTGTAGGGCAGTTCTACTCTGTCATATAGGGTTGCTTTGTGCTGGAATTCACTTGATGGCAGCGGGTTTAGTTTTTAATATCAGTCTGAGTCTGACTAAGTTATTAAACCCACTTAGGGTCACTTTACATCAAAATTAATTCAATGGAATGGGTTTTTGGATGAAGGGCCAACTGAGTAACTGCAGCCATTCCTCCATCCTTTGCTGCATAATTCTGACATATGGTTAGCAGCAAAGAAGGAAAGATCATGCTGTAAAAATTATTATGCTCCAGAATCTTTAAGGCACTTTGCTTTGACACACACATCTCAAGGAATGGGGGCGTCTCATGACCATTGAGAAAGAAGAGTCACAAGCAGACCCTGAAATCCCAGCATAGAGATGTGGTGGCAAGAAAGGTGGCAGCAATGATATCAAGAGCAAGAGACAGAGTAGTGGACTTCCCAGCCCGTGGAACAAGTAAAGCTGCGTGCCTTTGGGCAAGAGGTGAGCTTGCAGAGCAAGGTACCTTTGGGGTATTTATTGACAGCATTAAAGTAGTACTTGCCAAGCATGGCAGAGGCCAGGGGGTCATGTGACTGACAGACTGAGGACCAAAGACAGGTGTGCCTGTGGACACAGCTGAGAAGGGACACTCCTGACTGAAGGACTCTATTGTGATCCTTAATTGTACCCTGTTATCCTGCTATTGGCGTCCTGGTGTAGAGCTGTGGGTTAATGTGCTAGACTACAAGGTCAGTTTGAACCACAAGCTTGAGGGTTCAAGCTCACCAGCCACTCCTCAGAAACCCTACACAGGGTTTCTGCTATGAGTTACAACTGACTTGAGTCAGAATCGACTCAACAACACTTAACAACAACAACATCCTGCTAATAGGGAGCATAGTGGCTTTATAGGACAAGCAGTGGACTGTGAACCACAAGATCAGCAGTTCAAATCTACCAGCTGCTCCTTGGAAACCTGATATAGGCTCACTATGAGTCAGAACTGACTCGTTGGCACTTAGCAATAACAACAACATCCTGGTAATAGGGAGTGTAGTGGCTCTGTAGGATAAGCACTGGACTACGAACCGCAAGGTCAGAGGTTTGAGTCCATCAGCTGCTCCATGGGAGAAAGATGTGGCTTTCTGCTCCTTCAAGGATTTACTGTCTTGAAAACCCTATACAGGGTCACGATGAGTGAGAACCGACTCAATGGCACTTAGCCAAAACAAGGGGTTTTACATTTTACAAAAGTGGTGCATTTCCCATAGGACTCTGTCATATTCAAAAGAAAGAATTTCTAACTGTGGAATTCTGAGTGGCTGAATCTATATAAGGTCCGCAGTGATGCAAATGGTGGTGCTGCGGGTTAAAGCGCTGGACTGCAAAGTCGGCTTGAACTTCAAGGTCAGCTGTTCAAGCTCACCAGCCCCTCCTTGGAAACCTTATACAGGGTCACTATGGGTCGGAACCGACTCGACGGCACTTAACAACAACCACCAGTATAACGGTTGGCAGCTCAAACCCACCCAGTGGCACTGTGGAAGAAAAGACCAATGATCTAATTCCATAAAGATTAATATCAAGAAACACCTCTGGAACACATGGGGGCGCCATGAGTTAGAATCAACTTGACTACAAGGGGCTTGGTTTTGGTTGGAGTTTTATTTCATTAACAGTGTGACCTTCCAGGGTCGGCTATTCATTACTCGTTTTGTCTAATCAAAGAGCCCCTTGATGTTCAAATAATAAATAATACTTCGGAGTGGGGGTGGCATGTGCCAAGTTTTCTCCTTTTCTCCTCATCACAATCCCATGAATTAGCTATTTTTTAGCTCCATTTAACAGATGAGGGGGTGAGAAAGAGCCTGAGTAACTAGGGTAAGACCACCTGAAACAAAAGCAGATAATCTGGAGCTTATTCATCACCAGTGGCATAGACGCTCTCAACTATAATCATTCCCTGTGGGTTAATGCGCCAGACTGCAAAGTCGTTTGAACTGTAAGGTTGGTAGTTCAAGCTCACCAGCTGTGCCTCAGAAACCCAATACAAGGTCGCTATGGGTCAGAACTGACTTGATGGCACTTAACAACAAGTTATTTAAGTGCCGTCGAGTAGGTGAATGTAATTTTAGTAAAGTAAAATGAAAATTTCCAATTAAATGCGTTTCATCATACACATTTTCAGTTGAAGAAAACACTAGAGATGTTAGTGAAAGACAAGAGACTGTAGTGAAAGCCAAAAAAGAAGGGACTCAGTGGACCTGGACTCACGTGGGGGATGAGGCAGCAGGAAGGAACCGAGTGGAGTCGCTGAGGCCCATCCACTGCTGGTAGTCTGGGTACTCGCCCCGGCGCTGGAAGTACTGGCAGTGTGAGTAATGAAATGGGACTCTGCGTAGAGCATCCAGCAGTCCCATGAACTCTCACTGAGCTGCAGCGGTTCAAACAGGGCTGCAGTTTGGAGTGGTCAGTGCGACACTCGTAGGAGCGACCCTGGTCCTCGAAGTCCTCGAAGAAGGTGATCTGTAAGGCAAGGGGAGGAAAGGACTCAAAGGCCTGGCTCCCGGACACCGTTTGCCTGGAACCCTCCCCCGTCGGGATATCTTCCTCATGGCTGCTTCAGTGTCAAGGGTGGCAGTGTAGTGGTCTATAAAGCAGCCCATCTGCTGGGTTGGCAAGAATAACAAAAAAGGGGCCTGTGAGGGTGAGTAAGGGGCTTTTCTCTCTTTCTTAACCTATATAATGACTGTCAGGGTTATTGTATGCTCCCTCATAGACTCTCCAGAGCTAATTGATGACTGTGGTTAAAATTGTCATTTGATGCCACTAAGGGTTTAATTCCATTTGGAAAATTGAAATTGAACAAAGATACTTAACCAAATTAATTGTGGTAATTAAATATTGTATTTAT